AGGTGATTTTCGATGTGGTGGAAGAGGTCATTATGCACGTGATTGTCGTACTCCCAAACACTTGGTTGAGATTTATCAGGAATCGCTAAAGAATAAAGAGAAAAATCCTAAGGCAAATTTTATCTCTGAAAATCAAGTTGACATCACGTACTTGGATGTATAAATTTCTTCGCACATCCTGAAAGAAAGATAGATCACTTAATTGGTGATGTTTCTGTGAACATGGAAGAGTGATTTTCTTTATTATTATTTTCTTTATTTATTTATTGGTAGAAGTTAATAAATTTGATGTAATGATAGTTGTATACATGAGTATTAGTATTTTAAATTAATTTAATCATATTTTCGTAGTTCATTAGTTTGTTCCATCTTAATCAAATAGAATATATTCTTCATTGATTTATTTATACAATTATAATATGATAGACTAAACTTTATCATGTGTTTGTATTATATTAGGTCTTTAACTTTATTTAATATTAAAAACATACAATCTGTTATTAACTAGAATTTATTATGTGTTTTGTATTATATTAGGTCTTTAACTTGATCTTATGCTAAAAATGCAGTCTGTTATTAACTAGGATTAAATAATAATTTATATTTTATTTTTTCCTAACAACTCGTTTTTGACTTAGCGGAAGCAATAAATTAAGAATCAATTTCTATTATTTAATTATTAGTTTATTACTTTGAATATATTGTAACCTTTTGACAACACTAATATTTAATATATATATTTTATTTTGTGCATGTCATTTCATGTGAAGATATGGATAATTCTAAAAACATATCATCGAAATATGAAGACATTTGCTTGATTGATTTTGGTACAACACATACGATATTTAAAAATAAGAAATATTTTTCTCATTTAAGTATGGGCAAAATAAATGTTACTACAATTTTCGGTAGTACTAATATGATTGAGGGTTTTGAAAGAGTCATTGTAATTTTGCCCAAGGGAACTAAACTCATCATTAATAATGCTATGTTTTCTCCAAAATCTAAGAGAAACTTGTTGAGTTTTAAAGATATCCGTGAAAATGGTTATCATATCCAATCAATGGATGAAATAAATCTTGAATATCTTGGTATCACCAAGAATGTCTCTTGGCAGACATGTGTTATAGAAAAGTTCTCTACTTTATCTTCTGGCTTGTATTGGACAAAGTTAGTGCAATCGAGGCACATTTATAGTAAATAAGAAGTTTACTGATTCCAATACATTTGTACTTTGGCATGATCGTCTGGGACATCCTGGGTCATCAATGATGAGACGAACTATAGAAAATTCAAGTGGACATTCATTAAAGGACCTAAAAGTTCTTTTAAATGGTGAATTTTCTTGTACTGCTTGTTATCAAAGCAAGTTAATTGTGAGACCATCACCTAAGAAAGTTGAGATTGAGTCCCCTGCGTTCTTGGATCATATACATGGGGATATTTGTGGACCTATTCACTCACCTAGTAGGTCATTTAGATACTTTATGGTTCTAGTAGATGTTTCTTCTAGATGGTCTCATTAGTGCCTATTGTCATCTCGTGATTTGGCATTTGTAAAATTATTGTCACAAATAATAAGGTTAAGTGCACACTATCCTGATAATCAGATTAAGTTCATTCGTCCAGATAATGCTGCAGAGTTTTCATCACAATCATTTAATGATTATTGTTTAGCAATTGGAATAAGAATTGAACACTCTGTTGCTCATGTTCACACTCAAAATGGTCTCACTGAGTCATTAATTAAACGTCTGCAATTAATAGCAAGATCATTTCTTATGAAAACTAGGTTGCCCACTTCTGTTTAGGGAAATGCAATTTTGCATGCTGCAACACTTATTCGTCTAAGACCGACAAGTTATCATAAGGTTTCTCCACTGCAATTGGTTATGGGTCAAGAACCTAATATATCTCATGTAAGAATTTTTTGATGTGTTGTACATGTGTTTGTGGCACCACCAAACCGTACTAAGATTGGCCCTCAAAGAAGGTTAGGAATATATGTTGGGTTTGAGTCACCCTCCATTATTCGCTATCTTGAACCATTGAGTGAAGACATGTTTACAGCTCGATTTGCAGATTATCGATTTGATGAGATATTTTACCCAAAATTAGGGGGAGAGACTAGTGAAATAAAACGAGAAATTTTGTGGAAGATTTATCATTATCTCATCTTGATCCATATTCTTCTACTTGTGAACAAGAAGTACAAAAGATTATTCATCTGCAAAAAATTGCAAATCAAATGCCAGACGCATTTACAGATTTCAAAAGGATTACTAAATCACATACTCCTGCAAAAAATGTCCCAATTCGAATTGATGTCCCTATAGGACCATGCACTAGTGTCATAGCTAATGAGTCAAAAGCACACCTAAAGCGTGGTAGACCATTGGGTTCTAAGGATGAAAATCCTAGAGAGAGAAAAAAACTAAATGCCAAGATGACATTATGAATGAATCTCATATGGAAGTTCAAAATTTTAATAAGTCTGATATTCATGGAAGAATCAATGAACTTCAAACTCAAGGAAATAATAAACTATCCATAAATTTAAGAGATGTTGAAACTAATCTGAATCGATCAGAAATAGTGGTTGATTATGTCTTTGCATATAATGTTGCAACAAATATCATACAAGATAATGAGGATCATGAACCTCAATATGTTATAGAATGTGGACAAAGAAATGATTGGCCAAAATGGCAAGAAGCGATTCAATCAAAGTTGAATTCATTTGTCAAGCGTGAAGTTTTTGGACCTATAGTTCAAACACGTAATGGTATTAAACATGTTGGTTACAAATGAATTTTTGTGCGAAAAAGAAATGAGAAAAATGAAATACAAAGGTATAAAGCACGCCTTGTGGCATAAGGATTTTCTCAAAGGCCTGGTGTCGATTATAAAGAGACATACTCACCTGTTATGGATGCAATAACATTGCGTTATCTCATTAGTTTCAGAGTCCATGAGCAATTTGAAATGCATTTGATAGATGTGGTTACAGACTACCTTTATGGATCACTTGATAATAAGATATGCATGAAAATTCCTGGAGGATTTGCAATACCTGAATCATGTAATTCAAAATCTCGATAAATGTATTCAATTAAATTGCAAAGATTATTATATGGTTTGAAGCAATCTGGACGCATGTGGTATAAACGTCTTAGTGAGTATTTAATTAAGGAGGTTATACAAATGATGCAATTTGTCCATGTGTTTTTATAAAAAAAATAATATCGAAATTTGTGTAGTTGATGTTTATGTTGATTACATTAATCTTATTGGAACTCCAATAGAGCTTCAAAAGGCAATTAATTATTTAAAGAACGAATTTGAGATGAAAGATTTGCGAGGATAAAATTATGTCTTAGTTTGAAAATTGAGCATTTGACAAATGGTATTTTTGTTCATCAATCTGCCTACACAGAATAAGTGTTGAAAAGATTTTGTATGGATGAAGCACATCCCTTAAGTACTCTGATGGTTGTTCGTTCACTTGATGTGAATAAGGATTCATTTCGACCTTAAGAAAAGGATGAAAGAAATTCTTGGTTCTGAAGTATCATATCTTAGTGCAATTGGCGCACTAATATATTTTGTTAATACTACAAGGCCTAATATAGCTTTTTTTGTCAATTTGTTAGCAAGGTATGGTTCTACTCCTACTAAGAGACATTGGAATGAGATCAAACACATTTTGTGATATCTTAAAGGGACAGCTGATATGGGCTTATTTTATTCTAATAATTGTAGCCCCAATCTTGTAGATTATTCTAATGCAGGATATTTATCTGATCCACACAAAGCTCGATTCCAAACAGGCTATGTGTTTATTAATCCACCATACTCGACATGTTTCTTAGCAAACGATTCCTCACAAAAGAATAATATCCTTTGTATATACAGAAATTCCAAAACGGAAAGCTATACGAGAAGAAGTTAGAAACTGAAGAAAAGATAGGAACTAGTGTTGGAATTTAGCAAGTGTGAATGGGAAAAGAAAAGAGAGAATATGAAAAGTGAGGGAACTACTTTGGAGGGAAAATGAAAAGTCATTTGCAAAGTGCAAATGAAAAGTCATTTCTCCCATATCGGCATAAGAAAGGGAAATTGTTGTCTTTATAGAAGGAAACACTTCTATTACTTCTTAAAGAGCTAAGAAGAAGATGCCCCCTTGCGCCGTCGTCGTCGTCGCTCGCTTGGCCTCGGCTTCGGCTTTGGCTTTGGATTTGGCAAATGATGTGATTGATTGATAAATTTTTTGGACAAAATTTATTTAATCAGTTTTTGTTAAATCAAATAAATCCTGTTAGAATTTATCTCTTATAAATTTGCATCTAACGGTAACATTACGAAAAGTTGTTACTCTTTCCGAAAAGTCATCACTTTTTGAAAAGTAGTTACTTTCTAAAGAGTCGTTATTTTCCTAACAGACACAATTTTCTGAAAAGTTGTTATTTTTTCCAAAAGACACAACTTTCTGGATAAAATGGGTCTGAACAGATTTCACTGAACAGACATGTTCCTTGCTGAAAATGGCTATAAAAGCAAGTCAATTTTCGATTTTTTAAAAGACTAAAAATTTTCTTTCACTGCTTTTTTTTCCTCTCAAATAAAATCAAAGTGTCGATCGACTGAGTCTGTGTGACTTGTTGTTGTTCTAAAGTTCGTTGAAGTTAAAGAAGTTTGAGGTACCGCTATTTCTTTAACAGGTTTAATCCGTTTTATCTTGGGAGAAATTAATCCATAACCTTGGGTACAGTGAGGGGATTAAATTTCTTAAGGACACACAATAGTTTCTGGGGACTCGGATTAGTTCTTGTATTTTATATTTTTTCTGTTTCATCTTATTTCTGTTTTTGTTTATTAACCTTATAAATACAGGTTATTGTAAGAATAACAACTAGGTCAATGACCATACTAGTGACAAGTTCTAAACCCATGCAAATGCATGAATTGGTTACAAAAAAACACTTGGAAGTAACAAATTAAGAAACACACATGTATCTACATCTATATCTATACAAGGTTATCTAATACAGCTTCAAGAGTTTCAACAGAGACAAATGAAGAAAAAAATAATACTGTAAAAACCAAGATGGTGCAAATCAGAGTTTAGAGATCATGTATACATCAGTAGGTAAGTTAATAAAGGTGCCACAAACTGACACCATTATCGAGCAAGACAACTGCTGATACGATACAAATACCATAATCTTACTTAAAACTCATTGTTGGGCTACTTTATGCTCCATAGCCTTCTATTTTCATGATCTCAGCCCTCTGTTTCCAATAGAGTCTATTATCAATTATTATTTTCTTGACCAGGGCAGAGGTTGAAGCCATATGCAAGCAAACAACTCGTGTCAATGCAAAAAGGAAGTATTTGTATCAACCTTTCACAGTCTGGCTCTCTGAAGTTCCATCTTTGCAATTGTCCCCAGGTGTACTTCGTCAGGACCATCTGCAATTCTTAATGTCCTTGCTGTAGCCCAGAGATGTGCAAGAACAGTGTCGCCGGATAAACCAGCACCACCATGCACTTGCATTGCTGTGTCGAGAACCTTCAATGCCATATTTGGAGAAGCAACCTGTCAACCATAAAATCCTGGTAAAGTATTTTCAGAAGGAGAAAATAGTGCAATCACGCAAGTCCTTGTTATTATGCTTTACCTTTGCCATTGCAATTTTACCTCGGGCCCTTTTGTTTCCAAGCCGATCAAGCTGGTCAGCAGCTTCGAGAACTAATAATCTGGTTTTCTCCAGATCAATTCGACACTGTGAAGTTCATTGTCATGTATCATTTCAGATAGAATTACAGAAAAAGAAGAGACAAACTTAATAAAGCAGTTACTGTTATGGAGGTTTTCTTTGCCCAAACTTAAAAGCAAAAACCTTACTCTAGCAACATCAGAAAGAAAAGAGCCATGTTGAGCAATTAATTTTCCAAAAGCTCTTCTTTGAAGAGCCCTTTGAACCATCATCTGCATGCCACGATCTGCTGCACCTATTAGTCTCATGCAATGATGCAACCTTCCAGGTCCCAGCCTACCCTACAAGAAAAGGAGTTCAGCAACCAAGTATCAGTCATACGATTCTATATGCTGCAGATATCTTCCCTCAGATAACCATTATGAGCAGTGTAGCATTTCATATGAGTCCTGTCATTCATAAGACGATGACCCCTTTAAAGAAGTACCACTAAATTTAAACAAAAGCATGAATTTTCTTCTTTTTCCCCTCAAAACCCCTGTTGTAATTATTTGAAAAACAATGGTCGACACAAACTTTAGAACATGTAATATAAATGGAGATTAAATCACTTTACTGGGATGTGCAAAATCCAAAAGAAAATGCAAAAGTATGATGATCGATTGAATGTAACAGATGTAGGAACTTCTGATAAATAGCCATCAAAAGACTAGCTCATTAAAGGCTAATGTCATAAAATATGTAAAAAGTGAACTCGTTAAATACATGAAACACTGTTACCTGTGCAATCTCAAACCCACGCCCCTCACCAAGCAGGATATTCTTGGCTGGGACGCATACATTCTCGAATATTATTTCTGCATGCCCATGAGGAGCATCATCAAAGCCAAATACTGTTAGCGGTCTCTTTATGGTAATACCAGGACTGTTTATGTCCACCAAGATCATGGACTGTTGTTTATGCTTTGGAGCTGCCAAGTCAGTTTTTCCCTGCCATTCATCCAAACTAACTGGTCTGAATATAAAAATATTAACAGAAACAAATCATTTTCGCTGAGAAGCAAGAACTAACCATCACAATGAGAATTTTGCACCGGGGATCCATGGCTCCACTAGTCCACCATTTTGTCCCGTTGATAATATACGAGTTGCCATGTCTGTACAATGGATTGCTCTCACAGTTATTTTTATTAATCTAACAAATTCAAGCATGCTTCAGTTTTCTTTTATGACCAAAATCCCCTAAAGGTTCCTGTGTATTCAACAAGCATAGGATAATTAAGCTGAACAGAATCCTTCTAAACTGAATAAAGGTTCAACCTAAGTTGCGAGTACTCTTCTTTTTTGGTGCCACACCCATGTCGACACGACGTGGATGTGGGAACCATACCGGGTGTCATCTAACAGTTTTGGGTACTCTGGCCGAAATCGATTGAGAAATTTGACACAATACCATGATTTCTAATTCCAACTTGCACTCAAAAATTTGTGCATTGCTTTGCTTTAAAATAGTCCAGCAACTTTCGGCATATTTTATAACTCTATTTCGAATTTGAATTATTTTAAGCCGAATTCCCAAACCCGCATCCATATCTAGATCCATAGCCCCAAATCTTAAAATTAAGATCATGAAGGATCCGACCTTTAGATCTGTACCCGTATTGGACACCTACACTCGGGTCTGAGCAACTTAGACACGAACCGTTAGATTTCTCTAGATTCACGTTCAACATCTTTCATGATATCCCAATCCCAATCTTGGGAATTTCTCACTGAAACATTCATCAAGTATTTTAAGACACATAACTGTGTTTTGAAGGGGAACCTTGGCATAATTGGTAAAGTTGCTGTCATTTGACCTGGAGGCCAGAGGTTCGAGCTAAGGAAACAATCTCTTTCAAAAATGCAGAGTAAGGTTGCATACCATTGCAAAAGCTTAGTGGACTGAGCAGCTCTTTTTCTTTATCAATGTACTTCAAGATTCCCCCACAAAATTGGGAAATTTGGATTTACCATCTTGGGATCAAAGTGACCATTGATGAGATATAACACATTATTAGCAGTTAGCACCTCATTGATCACACCAAATTGAACTGTGTAAATACGACATTAGAGGGAGTACTAAGTCGCCAAGAGAAGAGTAAATTATTGAGAGAATGAAAAGATAATTTACAATTTTTGCCTGTGTAATGGATTTCGTATAACAGAATTAGGAGATATTTAATAGTTTGTGTCGAGCATCTAATATTATTAAGAGTAGTCCTTTCAAACATATTCTCCGAAAGGACAAAGAGCAGGAAGTAAAACATCCGCCCTTAGGAAGGAAGTTCAGGGGTTAAGAGTGTGCTCCTAATTCATATGCAGTTTCCCTGCTGAAAGATGCCCAATCAAGAAGATGTGCCACCATGCCCGATGGGCAAGAAGCTAGGGCAGTTAAGGAGGGTTATATTGGCTGATCGTGTCCAAACTTGAAAGAGATTATGGGGAATCAGAATCAGATTGGATTGAGGGTAGATAGTAAGATGCCATTTCCAGAAGCATTGAGATCATGAGATAAGAGACAAGATAAAAAGGGAAAACTGTTTTGAACATCCTGCTACCACGTCCAATTATTTCACTTCAGAATCTCATTTTCTGTTTTTTTTTCTTCTGTTATTTTTCCATGTCCTTCATTTCCTTGTTTTTGCCCACTTTTGGCCGCCTCAGACCCTAAGAGAATGGGGGAGGGGAACATGCTATCAAATGCAATTAGTGATATGTATGATGGCTATAATTATGTCTACTTTACCCTCTTAATACCTTGATAGTCTTTGCTAAGGTTCTGAAGAATCCACTAGATGTCCAATTTTACATCGCTCAGTTATCTTCGACAGTGTCTATATTTAAGATAAAAATACGAGAGACAGAAAGAGATGCTGTATCTCATATACTTCTTATCTTTCAAAGATGTAGCTTGTGTCTACCTTTTAATGGAACACTCTATATTGGTGGCATCTGAGGATGCAACTTGAGGCTCTGTCATTGCAAAGCCAGAGCGTATATTACCTTCAAGCAAGGGAACAAGCCATTCCTTCATCTGTACCTCATTCCCATACCGAAGTAATACCTGAAAAGATGATTCACCCAAAAGTATGTTACAACATAGACAATTATGCCTCCGAAGGGTATAGCAAATTGTCTTCTATGAACCTACTTTTGTTTCACTTTTCACCAATTAAGTTTTCCAGTACAGCTGGTGCAAGATATAATTATGCTTCCTTGAGACTATTTCTGGAGTCTGTTAGAATAGGAATAGGTATATAGTATATACATATACAATCCTAGTCTAACAGAGTCTTCGTTGACTTAAGTTAAAAGAAGATTATTGTAGTAGCTACTTGCAAACTATCACTTTACAAAATATTAAGCAATACTTATGTTACCTCCATATTTCCTGTATCAGGAGCACCACAGTTGAAAATTTGTGGCGCCCAGACAGAACGACCCATAATCTCGCACAGATATCCATACTCCAGGTTGGAAAGACCAGCACCCAATAAGCTACCAAAATCATTGTTCAGTAGACCATTTCGGCTGCCAAAAATAAGTTCTCTAGCCCGCGTAGCACTATCAAACTACATATTAGTAGAAGATAAAACATCAGGTACATTCTCAGAAAACAAATATCTTTCACTTCATTACGACAAAATGAGCTTTACAAACTCACTGGTATGAATAAGTTCCACAATCCTTCTTTTTTGGCCAGCTCCTTTAATTTCTCTTCATTTGGGTGAGCTGTCCAACGCATGGAAGATTCCGCAAGCTTGTAAAACTCATTTTCTGTTGGATATATATGATCCTCCATAAATTTTGTCAGTCTGTTCCTCAACTTTTGAACCTTCTCACTGGGCACAAATTTCCCTCCCATAGGTAATCCTTGATTTGAGCTATCATGTCCAAGTTGCCTGACATGATCCTCTAAGCTTGTCTCTGCATAGTTGAGCACAACAGAACAATCTAACTAAGGAAACAGGTATTATAACTTGGTTTCGATATCTCAAGTGACGTGATCAACAAAGTCATAGTAGCCTGTCATATTATTGTGCACCAATTTCACATAGTAACAGTTCTCGTGGACATTTAATGCTGATGAAAATGAATGTAAAGATAAAAGGTTGTGATCTTCTAAGTGCAAACTTGTTCTTTTCATTGCAGAGTCATGTTAGTGTTGGTTAATGACTAGGATATTTGCAATTTCACTGGAAAATTGAGTTTGAATAGAGCAAATTTTTGGTTCAATATTTTAATGTTACAAAAGAGTTCCAAATGTAGAGTGTATGATTTCTTGAAGAATTAAAAAGACTGGAATTACCATCCAATATCGGAGAATTTAACAAAATTAGTAACAGTATTGAAGTTGTTAAAGCATAGGATTTACCAGTTGGAGGGTGCTGAGGGAGAACAGATTTTCTTTGGATAAACGACCATGCAGTTCTAACGAAGGCATCAGCCTTTTCCCCAGCGCATCGTGCACGGTCACCTCCTGAAGCATTACCCTGCAAAGTTATTATTAGAGATTTATAATATTAGAAAATAAATCATACATAATAAATTGTTGGTCAAAACATGTTATGTCACCCATAAAATTTATTTGAAATCTGATTACCATGATCCATCTGCAATGTACTCCAGCATATATTGAAGCCCCACGAAATAAGGAAAAGGCTACGTAGAACTTCCATTGTTCGATAGGCCAAGGTCTTCCCTGAATGCAAAATCCAAAGCCCAAAGGAATCAGAAACAAGTAGTTGCAATATTAGGGTGCATAAAGAGTAAAAGGTTTGCTGATTTTCTCTTGATATTTACCAGATAAAATTGAAGATGATAAACCATGCATACAAATATTCAAAAAAATTGGATTTGAGATGATAGTATAGCGCAGCGATTCTCAATAGATGTCACAATTCCTATACTCCAGTCAGTTTATTTTCCTTGCATCACAAAGGAACTAATGTGGGACATGTATTTTTTATAACTATTGTTCTGTATTAGTATAACAAAGTTAAGTAACAGATATCCCTGCAAAAGAATGACTATCTAACAAAGACAGAGAAAATTGGGTCTTACAGCCGCTGAGCAGTAATCTGCGAGATAATTGGAAAGAGAAGGCACTCCATCAGGGAAGCTGGTGAGTTCAAAACCATTATTTTCTTCTATACTTTCTGATGCAATATTCACAATAAATCCCTGATAAGAAAGAAAGATGTTAGCAACTTTAAAATTTCTTATTTGGGTCCATATATCAGTCATGTGGAACTTAAAATGCTTGCAAGGGATATTAATTACAGAAATGTGACTATGAGGATGGTGCGTGTCATTGGTCAAATGATTTCGGGAAATTAAGTAGAAGTATCAAAAGAGAGGCAGTACCAAGCAACTGTAGGCAACATCACACATTTGATTACCCAAAGTGGAAAGCTCCCAATCAAGAATACCTATCACTCTATCCTGCAACATCAACTAACAGAATCAGCTAAAAGGAGCGGGGAGAGAGGAAAATGTAACATGTATTTGAAAGGACTCTAATAGCATAAAGTTACAAGGAACAAAAGGAAGTTATCAGATGCTTTCAAGGACTGCACCTCAATAGGATGAAACACAACATTATCAATCCGAAAGTCACCATGGACTAGACCTGCTGTTGCTCCAGAGGAATCTTCAAGGGGAATATGTTGCCGTAACCAATCAGCCAGCTCTAACATTTTTGGGTTTCTCCGGGACTTACCCTCACCAGTAGATAAAAGATATTGTTTGGCCCACCTTTCCACCTGAACTAGGTTACATAAACTATCAAACTTTATAAGAATATTCAAAAATTAAACACCGAAAATCACCCCTAAAAGGTGCATTGCATGAACAAAGTAACTAACCATGTTAGGGTAAAAACCCAAAAGCACACGTATTTTCAGTAACATAATAAATCTCAAGGGTCAAGAAATGTAGACTAACAAAAAAAACAATCAGGCACTACTTAATTTCCCCAGAAATGTAGAGACTGAAAATGAGCTTGAATAGAGAGAAATATGTAAGGGTTCATGTTATTGAACCAAACTATTTCGTATTGAAGTTTATTTAAGCTTTCCACAAATGAAATTTTCTGCACCTGCCGTTTACAATAGTTCATCCGTTTCCCATAGTTACCAAGACCAACTAAATCAACATCAGCAGAGTGAAGACCGGCCAAAGCTTGAGCAACAGCACGAAATATGACCCTTCTTCTTTCAGGGAGTACATCCTAAAGAGGCAAAAAAAGTTACATTGTCTTTTAAATCAATGAAAAGAATTAGCCTTACCAACCACACTAATATTATTCACAATCTAAAAAATCTAGGAAGATAAAAATTTGAAAACAGAATCCGCACAGGTAGCGTCGGGTCTACGAAGATACGTCCTTCCAGATACTCCATAATGTAAAATGGAGTTCCAATCACACTTGAATCTGTACACAAAGAAAAAACCTTTGGGACCGGGACCACCGAGTGAGTACTTAATGCATGTAGAACCTGCCGTGTCAAGATCAAAATATCAAGTTCAACACAGCCAAAATGCACAAACACGACATATGACTATTTATATACATCATACGAGAAATTGAGAATGCAGGACCTCATACTCTCTCTCAACAGCATGAGCAGATGTCAGTAAATTTCCACAGGGTTTCTTTCTCAACACATATTTTTTTGGCAAGGTTCCTGAGCCAACCTCAATGAGGAAAGTGGGATTTGACTGGCCATGCCCAAACTGATACACAGTGAGGAAGGCATTTTAGAAACAAATGAGAAGTGATAACTTTGCAACAAAAAACTCGCCTCTGCTGAGTGTACAGATGAAAGCCACACAGAACTAAAGAAATTTGTAAGTTCAATTGATACAAGACGACATCATTAATTAGCAGCAGGTCTGATGTGGAGCTCATAATTTCAAATATTTGCAAGAATTCTTTTAGCAACTTTGATTTTATTCTCCTTGTTAGAAAGGAACTAAAACTTGTATTACTAATCTAGGGAATGCTCTTCTAGTCTTCTCCTTTTTCTTTTCAGTTACTTTTAAATTTTGTTCAAGAAAATTGTGACATTACATTTAGATGATGCTCTTTTAGAAACAAGCACATCCCTAAACCTGAAGTTGTATAAAACATTTGTTTATCATTCTAACAAGTTTCCCTTTCTTTAAAACAAATGGATTGATAGTGAAATCTTACTGAATTCCTTTTTCATCACTTTATTTGATTAGTTCTGACCTTCCTATCATATGTTCCTTTCTTTCTAACGAGACAAACAAATTGGATTGCCTAGGTTACAGTTCTTTGCTGTAAGGAATAAAACTCGCTACATGAATTCGAATATATAAATTTAAGGGAAGCAAAGAATACAAGACCTGAGATATAGTAAATAGAGAAGGATTTGCAGGGAAGCCAATAACATTAGCAGAGGCATAGCGAAGCAGAGCTTGTGTATCGAAACTCTGAGCTGGGTTGACTTGGCCAACAAGATCGCAAGTTCTACTCCCCATATCGGATCACCCAAAAGTAAACACTGGGCTGAAAGTTGACTTGAAAACCACAAAACAGATACAAAAGGAATTGGATAAAAGATCAAAGTTTTGTCCTTGGGAACTATCCATATCATGCTCAACGTTTTCTCTTGAAATTCACGCTCTCTTCCCTATATTTTACTCTTTTTTGCATAATTTAATCCCAATCAGGCTCATATTTGCCCCCAAAATTATCTATCCTGATAATTGTTGGGAAAATGAGAAATAACATTAAAATATATTGCAAAACAGGACAAGAAATATAGAAGACCAAACCAATAGAAATAGGGAGACAAAAGATGAGAATTTTTCTTATTATTTCAAGTTTTCAAGTGCATACAATATGAATTTTTATGTGTCTATTTATAGCGTAACATAGAGGCATAAGTTATATACATGATATTAGCATGAATATAATGGGGGTTAAGAAAGTGGGAGGTTATGAGAATAATGGTTATAAAGTTTGAGGTTATGGAGGTTATGGTTATCTTCACAATGGAAGAAAATAATGGAGATAATGGGTGAGTAACTTCTTGATGTGGTGAATATTGACATTATACTATTCTTTTAACTCTCCCTTGGATGTCCATAGATAATGTGTTTCGTTAAAATCTTACTAGGAAAAAAAATCTGTGGAAAAAAATCATAGTGAAGGAAAAGAGTGCACAAATCTTTTAATACGCTTTGAATGTTGCCTCGTTAAAAACATTACCAGAAAAATCCAATTGGGACAAAACAATGATTAAGGAAAAGAGTACAACACCTAATTTTCTCTTCCTGATAAAAATTTTACTTGATATCTCGGAGACGATGCATTTCAATCTTATATCACAACTTCTCAAATATTGATCTTGATAATCCTTAGTGAATAAGTTTACAAGAGTATCACTTGAATGGGTCTTTGAACGTCTATCTCACCATTTTGTTGAAGATCATGTGTGAAAAAAAGCTTTTAGTGAAATTTATTTTGTTGATCTCCTTTGATTGTATTCTCCCTTCAATTGAGCATTATATCATTTTCGTATATGGTGGCTGAAATATCCTTTTTTTAAAAATCACATATTTTCTGAATATGATAGATCATGATTCCAACCAAACACACTCCCGACTTAATTCATAGAACAATATTATTTATGCATGATTTGGCGAAGTGGTTACTAATGTGATTCTTTGAATTTCCAAGATATTGTTGTGTCTCCATATGCAAATAAATAGTCCATTTGTGATCAAACTTTATGTAGATCAAATAAATATTTTGCATTTACATAATCAAATAATTTCTAACTCGGGGATTGATCATCTCAATTTTATTGAAGCTTGTTTTTTCTTTCTGAAAAAAAAATCACACATCTCCTATGTGTTGAGTCACTTGCTTTGTTAGTTTCTTGTCATAATTTGAATGAATGACATAAAACTTTCGTTATGTATATCAAATAATCTTCTAGCATTTGAATAATCAGCAATCTGTAAGTGCACCAATTGCACTAATACTTGACATTTTAAATTATTTTCGTGAGATAATAAAAGATTCTTTTTATGCATTAAGCATTCTAAAAATCATTGGGTACTCAATGGAATTACTTTAAGATCTTTTAAATCCTTCAAGAAGTTTCATATAACCTTCATTGTTTAGTTAGACATGATAATCAGTCATTATACATATTCAAGTATTTCATCTATTACCAAACTGGAATTAATTTCATTGCATCCACCACTTGAGAACATATCTCCATTTAATAATGTCAAGACTTCTGCGGAAAATTTTTATGCCGCGACACACAAATCGTACTTTATATCTTATGATTATACTTTCGCACAATGATTCATTTGTACTTCACTCACAATATTTTGATATATGAATTATAAGTTCAAACTCACTTTTTAAGTAAAACAAAATATACTTGAATAGTGCATTTTATTGGCCAATCATTTATCTGTCCACATTATATGACAGATTCAAATTTAAGATCCTCGTAACCACTTAAAGCATTGAGTGATACTTCATATCAAAGATATAGTTGACGGTCATTTGACTCGATTCCAATACGACATCACTTGTCAAGGTTTTATGAAGTGTTATGTCGTAGTGCTCTTTCAAAGAACTTACCTCATTATCATGACCAAAATTTGCTCCTCTCCTTCCTCAAGGAGTTTTACTTTTGAAATCGATTGGTCTGTCACGCTTCTGACGTAGTATAGACTCTGCCCTTCAAGGGCTATTTATTAGATCATTTGCAGCTCAATTAAAATATTGATCAGCAAATACATTTGCAATATTTTGAAAATGAATTATCTCTTGAATTTTAATCTCACATTATTCTTTTAATGAGGATCTACATAATTCACCTTACACATAATCTTCAGATGCTAAACATATCTCCCCCTAATGATAGGAAATTTAACATTCACTCTCAACCACATTTCGGGATCCATCTTTATGCGTGGTGGAACAATAACATCATATGTGCACACATCAAATTTTTAGATGGAAATTATTTGGTTCCTGACCCTGAAACAATTGTGTTGGGATAACCTTGTTGGCTTGTTACATACATGTTAAATAAACTCATCTCATACCAAATTTTATTTGAGAGATCTGTTCTCATAATCAATGGTCTAGATATAATTGGAGGCATACAATTTCTGCTAAACCAACCAGCATTATCAACATGATTTTATAGTTTGCAATTGTGCACTTAATTTAATAATTCGAGCAAACAACCTTACAAAAACTCATTTGTAAGTTGATACAAATGCACATATGACCATATGTATCTATTAAATCATAATAGTAAATGGTTCATATGGCAGGTGAATGGGCCCATATTCACCTTTTAATATGTTCCAAATAATTTCAGGGGATACAATCCCAACCTTAGCAGGTACAATTATCATTTTATCAAGAGAACAAGCTACAAAAGAAAATTCTTGAAGAATCTTTTATTTCTTCAACATATAGCCACGTGAATTCTCAATTACTTTTGTATCAAATTTGAATCAGAATGGCCAACGGATATTAATTCTAGTAAACTTCTAGTTACTTTTGCATGTGATTCCATCAGTATGTCCATATTTGTGTACAACAAATAAGAGGGAGAAAAAAGGTTTATCGTATACATAAATACTTATAATCCACATTTTTGTAGTAATTTGAAGATATTAAATCTTCCCGTAATTTATAGTCTCAATATAATATTTTTCTTTTCAAATTCTTTCGAAATTAAAAAAGTTTCTTTTGAGACTCACTACATCCCCAATATTATGAACAATTTCATTTCTCTGAATAGTAGCAAATTAGCACTTTCGAAACTCTCAACTAATTTGGTGTACTACAACAAATTTCACAACGTCATTCTAACGATGACCATCTCTTTCAAGGATAAAATTATTATTTTTGTCATGGTTAAAATTATCACATGCAAGACTTATTTTTTGAAAATCAATGACAAATTTGTTTGGTCATAGCCACAACCTTTATAGGAAAGAACTATTTTTTTCTTTTTTCCTGTAGTAATTCATAATTTAACATACCATAATATTTGTCTAGTACTTAAAGTATATGACTAAATGACAATTTATGTCAAAATATTTCTTTTCAATATCTCAAACCCCCCGTAGAGGTGAGATGTGAACACAAATCACATTTTTTGTAAGAAATGAACCATAACCATTTGAACATGCTTTATTAGTCTTTATTAGAAACTCATTGTCATACTTTCACACTTATCAAATTCATGTAACTCAATCAACATCACTTTAAGAGAAGAAATGTACCAAATGTATTATCAGTTTGTATTCTATTATTTGATGGAGGATTCACAAAACTTTTCAAATTTGGGTTGCATCAACAAAAATGTACCCAATAACTTCTCATACCACTTTGATGGATAAAAATTATATTCACACTTGAAGGACCATCTTAAGAACCCATAATGTTTCCTTTTCATTGTCATAATGATGATCATTAATATTTTACCACACTCATATTTATAAATTCAACCACTTGTCATTTTCAGACATATTATGCACTGCTATCATATTCACATTAAAGAATGAAGCAAATTAATTGGACAAATTTCATAACTTTCAGTCAAAGTATATAACTTTATGTTAGTTATATCATATCATCACTATGGTGCATTAGGACTTAAACTCAATATCTTACCCATATAAAGACGTCTTTGTCATAAATCAATGAGACTTGAACCCAACTTCTTATTATCATGGTGCACCGAGACTTTAACTTGATGGCTTACCAATTTGATGCGGTGGAACATGAATTCACCGTTTTATCCTCAACCAATGTCTTAATAAATCAAATATATTGCCAAAAATAAATATTAAATACCATAAATATAATCAAAATTTGACTTAAAATTAAATAAAAATGAACAAAATAATTAATTAGAATAACATGTTGCAACCATAAAAAAATTCCAAGTAAAATAAATTAAATATTATACCTCACAATGTTGTTATGAAGATTATCATAATTTACTAACCATTTTAAATAACAAAAAAAACAAACTTTGTTAGTACTAATAATATATAGGATATGAAGTATACCTTATGGCCGAAGAATTACTAGGATAATTCATAAAAATCAAGAAATACCTATCATTGATTTTTGACGGAGAATAAAAAACTCGTGTTGATAACGTGTTGTAATACTAAAGCAAAATAATACAAAATATATAGAAAATGAAAGCAATAGAAATAGGGAGACAAGAGATGAAAGTTTTTCTTATTATTTCAAGTTTTCAACTGTATACAATATGAACCCTTATGCCACTATTTATAGTGTAACATATAGGCATACAAAAGATTAGTCATAAACATGACATTAACATGAATATAACGGAGGAGGTTACGAATGCGAAAGGTTACAATAATAATGATTGTAAAGTTGGAGCTTATGATTATCTTCATAATCTAAGAAAGTAATGGAGATAACGGGTATAATTTTCGGTGTAGTGAACATTCACACTATAATATTTTACAAACAAAATACTCTTAAATTTGGTGTGCATTATTAGTTTTGTCTTTGGATTATTGACTATATATCCTTATGTTTGACTAACTGAACTTAAATGAACCTCGGATCTTTCAACATGAGTAACCTAAATTCTCAAGTTTAGAAGTATTTTTTACTTTTTTCTTAAGAGTTTCATGCTCCTACAAGAGTTTGATACCACTATAAGAGTCATATAGTAGATAGGGGTAAATTTGAGTTTAGTTAGTCAAGCGGAGGAACATTTTTAAGACAGTCAATAATTTGGGAATAAAATATTGATTTTGTCAAGTTCATGTTACACTCTTCTCATTCTCATGCTCACTTACTTGAGTATTGAAATAAATTATAAGTAATTGTAGAAAACTCCTTGAAGAAGACTCAAAAGGACTTTTTCTAATTTTACTCTTCACTCTACCTCGAATTTGAAGTATGAATTGAAGGATTATGATTAGAATTTAGGATAT